GACGCAGTATGACTTCTGATCCTTTCGGGATGCTGGACTAACGAGAGTCCTCCCCTCGCCTCTCACATGGGTACGTGTCAGTATGTGTGCGCGCGCGCGCGTGTGTGTGTGTGTCAGACGAACGCAAGCGCACGCACACACGCGCGCACACACGCACACGCGCACACACACACAAACACACACACGTGAGAGGCGAGGAGAATATTCACGTTAATGCAGTGCCTCGAACGGATTACAAGTCTACTACGTCCGTGCCTTCCGTAATGCCGATAGCAGGAACACGCACACATACACACGAAAACACATGTGTAAAATTCACTGCATCCAATTTCATGTTCCGTATCTTGAAAGAACAATACTCGAGCTTTCTTTTCGTCACGGGAAGACAATTTTATTGTTGCTCGTTCCTTTTTGATAGACGCTCAAAATTTGGCAAAATCGTGTGATTCGACCCTTTTGATCTTCAGTTGTTTAAAAACTAGAGCCAATTCAATATTTTTATAGGCATATTTGGATTCTGCGGAAAAAATCCTATCGGAATCGACTTCTACTTGTAAGTCAACAAAATTTTGTTGGGCTGTGTTATGATTATATTATCTTAAGTTTTTAATATGTATTAAAAGAAATATATATATATATAATGTTAATAGAAATAATAATGTAAATTATAATGTAAATTAAAAAATTTGTTTTTTCTTTCACATTATTTTATCGTGTACTTTATTCTTCTTTCCCTCTTTCTTTCTTCCTTTTTTTCCTCCTCCCATTCTCCTATACCTCGACGCGCTATCCGATAAGCCGTTCTATGCGTTAAACGATATATTTTATACATACAACTCAAATAAAATACCTAAATATGAATAAAACTATGTACATACGTTCTACCACCTTACTTTATAGTATTAAATACGCGATATACAACGCGAAATTATATTATTATTACAAAAATTCATACACTACATATTAAATAGAACGTATTAAATAAAACATATTAAATATAACATATTAAATATAACATATTAAATAAAACATATTAAATAGAACGTATTCGAAAACACAAATGCTAATAAATATTCTTTGTCTATATTCTTTATGTGTACTATCTTTCTTTCTTTCTTTCTCTCTTCCTTCCTTTCTCTCTTTCTTTCTTCCTTTCCTCCTCCCATTCTTCTATACCTCGACGCGCTATCCGATAAGTCATCTTATGCATTAAACGACATATTTTATACAACTCAAATAAAATACAGAAATATGAATAGAACTATGTACATACGTTCCACCACCTTACTTTATAGTATTAAATACGCGATGTACTACGTGAAATTATATTATTAAAAAAATTCATACACTACATATTACTTAGAACATATTAAATATAACATATTAAATAGAACATATTCGAAAACACAAATGCTAATAAATATTCTTTGTCTATATTCTTTATGTGTACTTTCTTTTTTTCTTTCTTTCTTTCTCTCTTCCTTCCTTTCTCTCTTCCTTCCTTTCCTCCTCCCATTCTTCTATACCTCGACGAGCTATCCGATAAGCCGTTCTATGCATTAAACGGCATATTTTATACAACTCAAATAAAATAAGTACAAATTAAATACTATCCTATAAGAAAAATAGATATGTGTACAACAATTCAAACATGTAAGAAAGTAATGAACTAAAAGAATATAATAATCTTCTCACGGCTACACTGTAATGACACAAGTGATGTCATAGTCACTTTATCGTGGCGGTACTTTTGATTTAAATTGTTTTATATACAAAATAATGCATGCAGGTAACTCCAGAGCCTCCTCGCCATAGCTAAGAATGCTTCTCAGCGTCAGTATTCGTTTGTCTCGCATACGGTTCTGAAGACTTACGTTTCGACTTCGATCGGGTCATTCTCAATTGGGTATTTTTGTAAAGTGTTACCAACTCCGATTCTGCTTAGTATTTTCTTTATATTGTTATTTGTCTCGTGAATCTGAGCGACCTCTGTTCATTCGTTCTAACGCGCGTGCGGCGTGACAACGTTATAAACACGATCACTTGGTGTCAGCTTAAACCATTTTCGCAAGTGTGCGTGCAAAAAAAAAATGAGAAATCTGGAACCGCTTAAAAAACCTAAATTTGAAAACGAGGAAAAGGAGGCTGCGGGGGTGGAAGTTGAGGAGATTGAGATGGAGGAGGTAGAGGTCACTGAAGAGGAGAATATTCCCTCTCCTACACCGCCTCCTGTACAGGACGAGGAAGAGGAAGAGGAGGATGAGGAGGAAGAGGAGGATCCTGCCCCCGTCCCAATAGACCTAAACGAGGTGGATCCGGAAGACCTTGTACCATTTGTGATGCACCTCATGTAGGTAGATGATGTGGAGGAGTTATGCCTCCTCCTCATCTACCTGCTGGACGAGGAGGTCGAATAGATACATCGACCGGGGAGAGGGGGGGGGTGGGGTGAGTGTCACCGCTGCCACCGCTGTCGCTGCCACGCTACTTCATATAATGTAAGTAAAAACAATATTTATCATTTTCATTTTTCGTTCACCGTCCCACTTAGTTACGCGCTACCCTCCACCCGCGCCACCATCTGCCGCCGCGACACTAACGCCGCCTGATGGCAACTGATAACCTGTATCCGTGAGTTAGTGACTTGTTCGATCGATCTCTTCATTGCTCTTGGTCATATGGCCTAACGTCAAATACTCTCGGAGGCACGCGCTGTATTGTTCCTTCAGTTCTGGGTTGGAGTCTAAACGTTTGTATACGGCATGCAAACGTTTGACAGCTGCTTCTCGAGATTCTTCTAATTGAGTAGGGTCTTCTTGAAACAAAAGTTTGACAATAAATTTCCCTGTAGAATCTCTCTGATAAGTATCCTCGAACTCTTTCTCGCATTGTATTTCCTCTGGTGTGAAATAAGTTGTCGGAACACATTCCTCCAACTCCCAAAAACGTTTCAACTGTTGCTCTATTTTGGGCTCCTGAACAGTTGCCTTAAGTACGATTCTACTTGATTCTTCCTTGCTGTGTGATATCGGTGCATTACCTCCTATAATTCATCTTAGTTTCGTCTTCTGTAAGATTGGTAAATTTCGTCCCAATTTTATTTGACCTATACAGAGTAGATCCCAAAAGATCCTACTACCTAATAAGATATCCACCTCTCTTGGTTTATCGAAGAATGTATCTGCTACTTGAACGTTTTCGGGTATCTTCAATGCATCCTTATCTATCTTTATCGATGGCATAGGCTCGGTTATGCAATTCATAATTATAAAAGATAACTCAACCTTAAACTCATTAACTGTTGAATGTATAAAGGCTCGTGTCGATCCTAATGTACTGGCCTGGCTACACCCAATCCCGGATAAAACGGTATTGCCCTTCTGCTTTGCTAAATGAAGCCTTTGACTTAGGCTTTCAGAGATTATGTTCATTTGAGATCCTGCGTCTAGG